CTGGTCACTCGGCGAAGTTCGGCTAATCGTCATTGTGCCGTGCACCTTGCGCATTTTCTCCTTCCAGTGAAGTCCGCTGACGATAGCAGCTGGGGTGATGTTAGATTGGGATCATCTGGATTGGGACCCTTTTCTTGCCCCTGAAACAGAGCGAGTTCTGTCACCGACGGGCTCCCCCGCCTTCTTCCAGGACAGAGAGCCTAGTCACGCAGCGGTTCTCAACCTGTGGGTCGCGATCCCTTTGGCGGTGGAACGACCCTTTCACAGGGGTCGCCTAAGACCATCCTGCATATCAGATATTGACATTATGATTCATAACAGTAGCAACATTACAGTTATGAAGTAGCAACGAAAATAATTTTATGGTTGGGTCACAACATGAGGAACTGTAAAGGGCCAGAGGTTGAGATCTATTTGTATTAATAGATCTTAAGACTCCAGAATAGTTCTGTGCAAAAGAACTCTTTTGCACAGAACTGGTAGTGTGTCCCGATCGCTGATCCGCGCACCTCGGGGCCATGCCTCACTAGTTGAGAAAGACAGTTCTTCCCTGTGAGGCTTGCACGGTTTAGGAATGCAGGGGAAGACCAGCGTTACAGTCGTGTACTAAGACTTTCCATTTTGTGACCCTCGGTCCAGGACTTAGTTTTTTAAATCATTCAGTTTGGTAGTTCCCTCGGAGTCTTCGGGCTCTTTTTATCATAGAAAACGTTTTGGAAACGAGCAGCTCTTTAAGGCCTTGGGGAGTCAGGAGGTGCCTTCCCTGGGGATCTCCAGGCTGCACGACAGTGTCTCACATAGGAGAGGCGTTAAGTCGGCCAATGCTTTCAACTGTCCGGCGTGTGCCTTCTTTCTTCCTGACCTCTGGCTGCTAGGAAAGTCTCCCCAGGGGAAGTAAGTTTATTCAGCAATATTAAGTCCCCTGTGAACAGAACTTTGTAAATCCAGGGATGAGGCAGTGAAAAGCAGAACGCTTTAGGTGTTGGAGAACTTAACAGAAGATAAGACACGCACACCTGAATTAATGGGACATGCATAAGCTACTGCATGAAATTAGTAGAGGGGGTAGGTCAAGAGAAGCTTTCTTATTTGCATTTAATTGAATTAAAATACTTCACAGGGTAAAAATAAGGGCAAATTTTTAGTATTCAGGGTTTATATCCTACTTTTCTCAACGTATACATCGTTCTTTTATATTGTTGCAATCACTGTACATTCTATATTTTCATTGAAAATTTTGCCTTCCCACATGCTAATGTAGTCCATGTGCTAATGATGTTAATGGTGTCACAGTGTGCTGCCCTTTAAATGTATCTTAATTTGTGGAATGTTTTCCATATTCAACATTTATATTGGGGAGGCAGAATGAGAGAGATGACATCTTTTTAACTGGCTGCCTTCCCGTGGCATGGCAGTCTTACGCACTAAGTGTGTGTTCCCTGACATTTGTATGTTGAAACCTTAACTACCCATGTGACTGTTTTTGAAGATTGAGGAGCCCTTAAGGAGGTAACTAAGGTTAAATGAGGTCATAAGAGTGGGGTTCTAATTCTATAGCATCGGCATCCTGATAATAATAAGAAGGGACACCAGAGATCTCTCTCTCCAAGCACACGGAGTAATAGCCATGTGAGGACACAGCAAGAAAGTGGCTGTTAGTAAGCCAGGAAGAGCTGCCTCACCAGAAACCACTCTGCTGGCACCTTGTTACTGGGTTTGTAGCCTCCAGAACTGTAAGACATAAATATCTGTTGTTTAAGCAACAAAATCTTTATATTGTTTCCCAAATTTCAGTGTAAACAGTCAGGAATTGGTTGTTAAAAAAAATCATCAGTCTAGCTATAGGATTAGAAATATGCAATGTGTTAATCTTTTTCTCTGATGAGGACATTATAGCACCAAAGTCCAACTTTTCTAGATATAAAACTTACTACTTTGGTAGAAAAAAAGCTTTTTTAAAAAGATGAGACTTTTATTAGTGTGGAAGTCTCATCTCATTCCATTGCTTTGTTTTCAGAACTGGGGCCCTTTGATGTTTTTAAATGATTTAAAAATCATTTAATTTTAAAAAAATTTTTACTTTTGTTAATCCTCACATGAGGATATTTTTTCCATTGCTTTTCAGAGAGAGGGCAAAGAGGGTGGAGAGAGAGAAACATCAATGTGAGACACATGGACAGGTTACCTCCCTCACACGCCCCAAGTGGGGGCGGGGAGCAAACCAGCAACCAAGGTATGTGCCCTTGACTGGAATTGAACCCCAGACCCCTCAGTGCAAGGTTGGATGCTCTAACCACTGAGCCACCCACCAGTGCTAAATGTAATTTAATTTGAATATTTAACTTGAAGCTATAGCATCATTAGTCTCTTTCCATCCTTGTTAGCCAGTGTTTTTTTGTTGTTGTTGTTGTTGTTTTTTAATATATTTTATTGATTTTTTACAGAGAGGAAGGGAGAGGGATAGAGAGTAAGAAACATCGATGAGAGAGAAACACCGATCAGCTGCCTCCTGCACACTCCCTACTGGGGATGTGCCTGCAACCAAGGTACATGCTCTTGACTGGAATCGAACCTGGGACCCTTGAGTCCACAGGCCGACGCTCTATCTACTGAGCCAAACCGGTTAGGGCAGCCAGTGTTCTTATGTTGACACTGCACTGCTTTAAAAATTCTGTAACTGTTCTGTCCAGCATGGTAGCCATTAGCCATGTGACTTAAAAATTTAAATTCGTTTCCGCAGTTGCATTACTCACATTTCAGCTGCTCAGTAGCCATATGTGGCCGTTGGCTACTGTATTGAACAGTGCTGATATATAGAACACTTCTATCATCACAGAGTTCTTTTGGACAGAACTCTTCTGGAGTCTTAAGATCTATTAATACAAATAATCACTTTTTTTTTTAAAGTTGAAAGCATTTAAGTTAGTAAAACTGATTTTGTTAATTGTGAGCACCACCTCATTTAAATAATCTACATACTTGGTTGTTGAAATTTACCTTTGATCATAACAGTTCTTTTAAATATATCATCAGTCAGGATTTAGGATGAAAAAATAAAAGCAGATGTCATTTCTTGTTCCATGCTCCCTTTTCACCACCTACTTCTATATTCTTGTGCTGGTGTGAAGGGGCTGAGGGGGAAGAGGTAGGAAGGGAAAGAGGGAAGAGGTAGGAAGTCCTAATGCAGTTTACTTTCTCTTAAATTGGGTGTAGAATTAATGCTACCAGGTGAACTAAAGAACTTTTCTCTTTTCATTCTGCTCTTCCAATCTCACCATTGTGGGTAAATATTATTGTAGATAGAGAATATAAAAAATAATGTAAACTTTTTCCTTAGCTTTGTGTGGGAGGATTCTCATAACAGCAGCACACCAACAGACAAGCCCAGACTGCTCGCTCTTAGTGAAAATAATGAATTGCTCATCTATGAATTTAATTTGAAAGATGGAAGATGTGATGGAACCATTTTGGATAACTGTAGTGAGGAGACTTTGCAAAAGCTCATTGAAGATCAAAATGTCAGTAAGTATTTACAGGTGGGCTTTCAACATATTTAAATCTGTGACGTTACTGTGTAATTTTGTGTAT